CCCCCCCCTCCAGGAGCATGCCCATCGCTCGTAAGGAATCCGTCTCTGATTTCCTCTACATGGCCTGGCTCGACGTTCTGACAAAAGACCTTCCACCCACCCTGCTCATTAGAGGCAACCACAAGAGTGTGCTTACTTTCTACTCCTGAGCATCTTACAGGCTAAACATTAGAGTACAGGTAGCTATAAAGGAAATAAATGGTAGTACTGTAATGATGGACCATGTTCATAAAGCGCACCAGAACGGATGAATGATATGTTATATAGCAACAGTTCTGATGAGGGTATGCATACTCCAGGTGCCAATATAAGAAGATATAAGAAATACCTAAAAACAAAAAAAACTAACTAAAATACAGAAATGTGGTCATCTGGTGTATTTGACAAAGGTATAATAAAAACTTATTTTCAGTCACAGCTAAACCTTGTTAATATTTTACCATGAACCTGTTTTTATCACTTTGGTTGGTATGCGCTGCTTCCTGGTAGCTTGTGGCATGTTGTGATCTGGCAAACAAACACTTGTACTGTGTGAGGTTGCAGCCAGCTTACCAGTAAAGGAACCTCACATTGCACTAACTACATTGTATGGCTACCAGTGTAAACTGCTGTGCTGCAGTCAGAGTCATCTATGAATGCTGTCAGTGAGGACAACAAGACTAGTCTAAATAAAGAAAATGCATTTCTGACATTGAATCTGTCAATGTCAGTCAGTCTAAATGTGGCAAAGTTTAAGCTCTTGCTCATAATAAAGAATAAAGTCAAATCCCACGTCTTCCTGATCAGTCCAGTGAACACAGGCAAAACTACACGGCTGCTTTCAAGGGTTACACTGAGTGACTGCCTTGCCGGAGCCTGTGATTGTAAAATAAATGTATATAATAGATGTCTGAATTCACTAGTGGATATTTTTTGAGTAAAACCCTTTCATAGATGATTAACAGCATCTGTTCTTTAAAACCAAGGTAGTAATGGTTTGATTCTTTTTTAAATATTCTTTGATATTTACTGAGTGTAAAAATAGACTGCTACTATAAAGCTGTTTACCTGTTCCACATTATACTGTTTAAATATTTCTAATGTTACTATCACAGTACACTTTCTGTTTAAGCAAAATTGAGTTCAAATGGAAGACTGTAAAGCCAATTCGTCTGTATATGTCAGCCTATTTTCTGTCTTTGTATTTAAATATATAATTGTGATTACCTGAAATAAAGAATTAATGAAATTTTGAGCTGGTATTATTCTTGTATCTGTCATTTATAAGGGGATGAAATAAGGTCCAATAAATGAATGAAACCTTGGATTTGTTGAGGTAGACAAGCTGAGGAGTTTTGCAGATTACTTGAGTATTTTAAATACGTAATACTATACTTTGAATTACTTTTTAATATGATGGTTGTTGTTACAACTTAACACAGTAGAGTTTTATGTGCAAAACATAAGTATATAAAGTACATGCATGTTGATAGTTTTAAGTAGTAATGAGATATTTTGACCTACAACTACAAAATAATTCATGATTTTACTTTTTAAAGCAGCGTTTGGGGCAATCTGGTCAAATAGAGTGAGAGAGATTTAATCATATTTAATATAAACACTGAATGTGTGAATGAAATCCTAAGTCAACATCCTGAGTGGCAATGGCGATTTATTCCCAATGGGTGGCAACAATGGACTGGAGATTTAACACTTGGGTCCGACCGGAGGTATAATTTCATGTTAATCTCAAAAAGTTATTATTAAAATTATGTAATTACATAATGAGCAATGGGAATTGTTCTGAGAGACTTTTGGTTATTGATTATTTTCTATCGTCAGATCATGGCTATGAAGCACTTCACATTTAATTTATGATGAAATATTAAAATTAAGCATTAAAACTGTCAATGCTGCCATTTAATTGTGCATAATTTATATATATTTGACCAATACTATATACAACATGTGCATATCATAACTCTAGCTATTTATTCTGTATATAGCCTGATATCTCACTATTACCATCACTATCAGTTATTCCTTTATACTGTATATATCTTAGTGTATCACCCTGACTGTTCATTCATCCATTACCTCTACACATGCTTAACATTATTAATAGCATGTGTTTGTCTCAGTAGGCTACTTGTACAATACAACCGCACATACATGCCCCATCTTCAACTATCTACCTCAGGTGTCTGCGTAGAGTCGACACACTAATGATAATACCA